CTCAAAAAAATCCAAATTCACACTACCTAACTACAACTCAGTTAGAACTGACAGAGCTAAACCGAAAACAAGAAGATCCGCAGGAGGAAACGATCTATTCGAGGGCCTATAAACATAAAAACATGAAACCCGCCTCCCCAATCCTCCAGCTAAACAATCAAACAATCAAATTTCAAAAACAAACCAAATTCTTAGGACTTATTTTCGATGAACATCTCACCTGGGATTCTCACATCCAAAACCTAACAACTTTTCCGACTGATGCGTATTTCGCACACGGGCCCGGCCAGGCCATTTAATGTGAAAGGGGCGAAAGTGGTGTGTGCAACCCAAGAGGGGGCTTTAGGGGTTGCTCATATAGAGTTTGAGAATTTTGAGATTCGGAATAGATGCCGATGGGGTTGGGGAGTACAACTAAGGGAGCTGGGTATGGTGGATGTTTGTTTGTTTATGTGATTTTGATTTGGTAGATTATAGTGTTTTTAGATGCGTTTTATTAGTTCCGTTTTTATTAAGATACTTGATACCCTCTTTTACATTATTTCATTCAACATTTTAATTCATCCATCCCTTAAATCCATTGTTTTAACATATTCGCCACTTCAGTTAAAGTTAATATCACAGTTCACATCACAGTTCACATCGAGGGAATCTGGCTTCATAATCCACCCAGGTTGTGACTATGTAGTCGTTGAATTCGTCAGCATTCGGTACATCGGGAGACTGGTTCATGGAGTCAATCCATGCATCCTGAACCTGTTGAAGAGGCAGCAGAGGCAAGGCAGCAGCTCGTCGGGTCCACTGGAAGAAACACCCCGAAACACGCCGACTGAGCTGAAGGAGGGAAATATAGCTGCAGCCTCCGGATCATGTCTCAAGACCTCGTCGTTGTAGAGGGCTGGCATAGGAGTGGTTGGTTCTTCTCTTGCTCTCTTCCTTAAGCTGCCAAGGAACTGGATTCTGCTGGTGTCTTTTGGTGGGTGGTTGTTTACAGTGAAATTTCTAACAAAATTTCCAACTGTTGTACATTTGCCAATGCAGGTCTTAACGGTACATCGCCAATAAGTACCAGTTTGTCTTACTTTGTTCTTGTAGTGGAGATATCCCTGAAAGAGGACCTGGAGAGTACCTCTTTGACTGGTCATGAACTCAACCTGCGGCAAACCTGCCATGATTGTGCATGAATTGTTCACAGACTAGGGGGAATTTATATGTGTAATAAGTAAGTTTTAACAAAACTTGCATCTCAACTTTTTGAGTAAGCTCCTACAAGCTCCTAACTCATTTATTTCCTGAGAATATTCAAACAGAATTAATGGCCTACTCTTATTAATTAGTCCGCTAATCATGGGCTGTGACCATTGTTAAGTGTCTGTGTTTGTTTAATTAATCCCACCTACTCCACTGTCTTACAATGGGTGTCTCACTAATGGGATGTAACCGCTGATGACTTTTATTTGTTTCTTAGAGTGAGTATGGTTTTACGCCGCCTTTAGCAATATTCCAACACTATCACGCTAGGTGACCAGCAATGGGCTTTAAACATTGTACCCATGTGGGGAATCAAACCCGGATCTTTGGCTTGACGAGTGAATGTTTCAACCACTAGGCTTCTCCACCGCCCCTTTTTCTCAGAACAAACTGGAGTAAAAACGTGAAATTTAAGGTTAGCATCATACTAGAAGTGATATTTGTTTATTAAATGCTGTCAACATCTTTAAAAAAATATCGCTGTAAAAATGTCTTCTCCAAAAGGACTTCCTCAGAGATCTCAGCTTGCAGAGGCCATTTAGAACTAAAATGACACAGAATATTACAACATATCTGATATGCCCAGACCGACATTTCTACTAAAAACAAAACATGAAGAAAATTTGCATCCGGATATGTTCCGGAAACCTTCAGAAAATCTTCAATTTTTCTTGGTAAGTTTCAAATATTTTGTATGTGTTTCCCACTTAATTGAACAATATGCACTCCCCAAATGTTGACAATTTTTGGAAGGTTTCCAGGAGGTATCCGGACTGGTTTGACCTGTGTTCGGCGCTATTCTCGCCGCGCTGCGCAAAGCGACACCTATCGAGGGTCGAAGAATGAGAAACCGTATATCATTACAAAGGATATGCAATAAAGAGCTGCTGCCAAAGTGACATGTTTTGTTGTTGATTAATACATACAGGACTTGAAAGGTGAAGCTATCAGTCAACGTCATATAATGTACAATAAACAAAAGAGAATTCGGGTAAACGAACTGGCGATAACACACTTATTCAATAAAAGTGTAAACTTTAAGATAAATTATCACTAGATATTATGATTAACCAATTCAAATTGTATTTTCTGTTCTGCTCGGCAATTTATTATGTGCAGAAATAAAGATTACCGAGTGTATTTTTTTTATCGTAAACTAAGCCGGATATGTCAGTCAGCTATACGTTTTCTACCAATCAGTTAAAAAGTACCCAGTAATATAACCTCTAAGAATAGTTATATCGTAATTACAACCGACAAAAGTTATATATATATGTATAACATCAGGCTGTTATATTGTTTTGGGAATGTTTCCTTTAATATCCACACAAAGGACCAACATCCCACACATCTGAAGCTGTACAGAAAAATTTGTTCGATGTTACGTGTCTTTGTAACAATGTAATATGTCGAAATATATATAGCGTTTGTTATATCCCGTATTCGTCTATCAGCTGATAAGGTAGGTTTGTTTCTGGTGTTGTACAGGTGTCACGTCACATTGGTCAGCTAGGATAGCACACGTGACATCTATGTTCATAATTATCATAACATGTGGTGTGTATATGTATAAAATATTGTTTTTATGAGTAGGCCAGTTTGGCCGGCTGCTGAGTTTTTACATTCTTGTCTTGTCATTTTATATGTACAGCGGGTGACAAAATTCTTCTTCTTCTTCTTCTTCATAATGTCTCACGGTTCATTAAAAGAATCCATTGATTTGATGGTCTTTTTAAATTGTTTTAAACTCCTGGTGGTAAATGAACACTATGATTTCATTCAAATTTCCTGAAGGTGTCATTTGTGTGTTTGTAGTTCAACGTCACATTGAGCACTAACCCAGTCTGGGACAAATCAGCCAACTCTCCCGATCAGACAATGCGTGTGTCGCATATACGACAGACAGACAGACAGACAGACAATAGTTTATTAACGTCTCACTCCTGTACATACATAAAACAGCTTCATACAACCTGACATAGATAAAATGTACAGAACCATTCAATAGAATTATGAGGGACGAATTATCACAGAATTTATACATAAATGATATAAAGATGATATAGTAAAAAGTTATCCATATAAAAGATGTTTTCTACGATTAAGAATTAAAAAGCAGACTTTGGCAAGTATAAAACACACACTGGAGTCACTGAAAATAAAACAAAGTTTGTCGATATCAGGTATATCTAAAAAATTATAAGATTTAGCAATACATTCTTTAAAAAGAGTTGCCCTGATATCATCATATAATGCGCAGTGAAACAAAACATGGACCTCGTCTTCTACGCTGTCATTACAGTGAAAACATTTTCTATTATTGACAGGTACACCTTCGTATCGACCGGTTTCCACTCGAATAGGAGCCACTCCACATCTAAACTTGGCTAGTGCCGATCTATAGTTTCTGGGCATCTTCTTTGAAACATAGTATTCTGTCCCATATACGTGTTTGTAACATCGATACATTCTCAATTTATTAAGCCCATTTCGCCCCTCTTCCTTTCTTAACATATCACTCCAACGGGTAACATATTTATTTTTACACCATTGTTCCACCTGTGTACAAACAGAAAATTTATCAATAAAACCTGTAGCGTTAAATAGATGTCCTAAATCCATATTAGTAAACTTCTTTCTTACCCTACCATTCCAATTTTTACAACCATTTACAGCGTATCTATCAGCCCAGTTAAACACGTGTTTGTTTAACCTACTAGACATATTCTTAGGGCGACACCATTGTCTTGCTACACTTTTCCACTGTCTGACAACAGGCGGTATCCATCCCATGTCCCCATTTATAGCGACGTTAGGGGCGTATTTGCCGAGTCCCAAATAAAATCTAATGGCTCTATGGTGTACAGCACGAACATGTTGCCCGAAGCCTGAACCAGGATGGAGAGAAGACTTTATTCGACTGTTTGATTTCTCGAGGACAAAAGATATTAGGTAAGATGAGCTTGATTATCTCTTGGAAATATCAGGATTTCAAGTCTGTGGATGCCCGGGTTGGCTTGGGGTAACTTCAGGATGTCGTACAAGGAGTGGAATGGCGACCTACAAGGTCGGTGTCCTGTCTTGCAAGGAGTGGAATGGCGACCTACAAAGTCGGTGTCCTGTCTAGCAAGCAGTGGAATGGCGACCTACAAGGTCGGTGTCCTGTCTTGCAAGCAGTGGAAGGGTGACCTACAAGGTCGGTGTCCTGTCTAGCAAGCAGTGGAAGGGTGACCTACAAGGTCGGTGACCTGTCTAGCAAGCAGTGGAAGGGTGACCTACAAGGTCGGTGTCCTGTCTTGCAAGCAGTGGAATGGCGACCTACAAGGTCGGTGACCTGTCTTGCAAGCAGTGGAAGGGTGACCTACAAGGTCGGTGTCCTGTCTAGCAAGCAGTGGAAGGGTGACCTACAAGGTCGGTGTCCTGTCTTGCAAGCTGTGGAATGGCGACCTACAAGGTCGGTGACCTGTCATGCAAGCAGTGGAAGGGTGACCTACAAGGTCGGTGTCCTGTCTAGCAAGCAGTGGAAGGGTGACCTACAAGGTCGGTGTCCTGTCTAGCAAGCAGTGGAAGGGTGACCTACAAGGTCGGTGTCCTGTCTAGCAAGCAGTGGAAGGGTGACCTACAAGGTCGGTGTCCTGTCTAGCAAGCAGTAGAATGGCGACCTACAAGGTCGGTGTCCTGTCTAGCAAGCAGTAGAATGGCGACCTACAAGGTCGGTGTCCGTGAAGGATGGAACACAGACAGGTAAATACTAACAATGACTTTATTTACACCATGACATGTTTTACATATGTTGTCAGTTCTTGGTATAAGAAATATCAAGTGAACCTGACAAATTGAGCGAGTGATTTGTGCAAACCCTTATAACCACTACCCCCACCACCAGGAACTTGTTACGGTCAGGCACATTCAGGTATAGACATTGACCCAGCAATGTGGGACGGAGGGAGTGTTTCAGGTATAGACATTGACCCAGCAATGTGGGACGGAGGGAGTGTTTCAGGTATAGACATTGACCCAGCAATGTGGGACGGAGGGAGTGTTTCAGGTATAGACATTGACCCAGCAATGTGGGACGGAGGGAGTGTTTCAGGTATAGACATTGACCCAGCAATGTGGGACGGAGGGAGTGTTTCAGGTATAGACATTGACCCAGCAATGTGGGACGGAGGGAGTGTTTCAGGTTCGGCTGACCGAGTGTGTTCAGATTCAACCGAGATCTGTGTTCAGATTGAACCGAGAGAGGTGTTCAGATTGAACCGAGAGAGGTGTTCAGATTGAACCGAGAGAGGTGTTCAGATTGAACCGAGAGAGGTGTTCAGGTTCAGCTACAGCGACACAGTGTCTGTGGACACATTCCTCTAGGGCAGAGCCGGGAACACCAGGTGTCCATGCCCTTCACGGTCCTCCAGACACCGACAGCTCGACAGCCACTCCCAGCTTGTGCCTTGATAGCAGATGATGACACCGGAACTGAGGGAACCACCGTTGTTGTTGTTGTTGTTGTGGTTGTGGTTGTTGTTGTTGTTGTTGTTGTTGTTGTAGAGGTACTTGCTCTTGTTGTCGTAGATGTAGATGTTGGGGTGGATGTTGTGGAGGGAGTGTTGGTGGCCGTGATCTGGATGTTGGCGCAGTTGATGAAGTGCTCCTGGGGACCGTGGTTGACTCCCGTGCCGCCAGCGTCCGTACCCCAGGCGTTGGCTGGCAACAACACAAAAAACATTATTGCAAGTATCATGACAATCATACAGTTGACCCTGAATCGATAAAATTTTATTCTCAATTGTTTAAGTTTATAACTCAACCGGGTGTTAGCCGACATTAAATATTGCACAAGTAAACTTATATTTCTGAAGCACTTCAATGACCCTCACAATGAACATTGAGTATGGAACACCGCCAGGGACGTATTATTAATTTACATACCTGTGACGTATGTCCACTGTAATACACAAAAGTCACATGTCATATCCGACGGTAGACTGGCTTTCACGTAATACATCCTTGTTTGACTTCCAATATAGTACCTCACCAGCGGGCCACCAGTGGTCGCTGGTTGTACCTTGTGGTCAGTCGGGTCAAGGGTCAACAATGTTTTGTTGAAGCACTCCAGAAGAGCATCCCCGGCCAACAGGCCATTGTCACATAACCTGAATTCGAAGTAGCCTCTGTGATTGGCTAAGATGAGCACGTTCATGGTGATGGTGTCCCCTGAGTGGAAGATGCGGCCGATGGTGTCGGCGTAGTACAGGCCGCCAGGTTCGTTGTTGCGTTGATGTGCGTCGTAAGGGTCCCCACAGGCGCCGCACTTGCCACCAATTGTGTTTGACCACTGGTGCTGAAACAACGAAGTCGATCACAGGTTTCTGGCGTGTCCAAGTGACGGTGTTGCTATGGGGGTTGACAGGGAGTGGTTGTTTATAAGTGTTGTTTATAGTTTAACGCCGCAAACAATAATAGTCCTGCTTTATGAAGGTGTTCTGTAAATAACTGGGTCTCAACCAAACAAGCCAGTGATTAATATCATGAGCATCAATTCACGCAATTGGGATATGATGACATGCATCAATCAAATCAGCGGGCCTTCACCCGATCCCGTTAGTCGCCTCTCACGACAAGCAAAGTCGCCTTTTACGACAAGCATGGGTTGCTGGAGATCAATTATGGCCCGGATCTGGAGCGATTGTTGAAACATGCTCCATGAAAGGAGCGTTGAGTGCAGCGTAAACAAAACAAACAAACAAACATACTTTTAACAATAGACGGTTTAATGCTTGAACATACTTAATTGAAGAAATTATTCATATTGTATCACTTAAAATATATCTCAGTCTAAACGCATGTGCTCCGGACAGAATGGTATGTGTGAGAGTGGACGACCCCTAATGACCAAACTTGAACTGAGATCTACGACGTGACGAGCGATCACCTGAGTTGTTTGGCTACCGGCGGTCTGAGACTCAAGAAGGAATAACGGTACTTACATTCAACCCGCCACAGTTAAGTTCGGCGTCGTTGTAGTTGGCGGGAGTGTTGTAGCCAAGCCTCCACATACTGGAACGCTGCGGGGGGTCCATCAACCGCCCGTGACCTGTGACCCCAGGGACGGAAAGTGCGAACATAGCAATCGTGGACAGCAGGGACGTCATCACTGGACAAATATAAACACGACCTATAGAACTGATCCCCATCAATATGTGATGGCTGCAAGACGAAACTTAAGAACGGGCTCGGTGACGACATAGGTCGTTGCTCATAATATTGATCACTTGATTACTTACCGGCCACCGCCATATATAGCTGGAATATAGCTGAGTGCGGCGTAAAACACGAAGTAACGAAACAGTCATTGTGGTAATTGGGAGAATAACGCGACATGGATATTGTAATTATATCACGGCGTAGTACAAGTAGCCGTTTATCATTATTGGTAAAAAACACGTGCACGGGTACCAACAGACCAAAGATTATTAATAACCCACCTTTTTTGGCAAACCAAGATCTCTTTGACTATTTATAAGTGTAACCGTGCGTTCCGGAGTCCGCAGTGTCCTGGTGTCCGACACCCGGTCGCCTGCACGGGTATTTCTAGAGAGTTGCGCCGCCAAGGGCGACGTCCACGCTGGACAGTGATAACACCCTGGCTATCTGGGGTGTGACATCACTATCTGGCCGCTGAGAGCGGCGTGGCTCCGGGCGTCGTGTTGTCGCGTGATGACATCTTATTCCCACACCGTCACGGGGATTAAAGCACCCGGGGTGTGTCGGGTGATAACTACAGCCACGCAGCGACGATCTACCTGTGCCTGCAGAAGCAGGTAACTAGATCTCATTACGTGTCGTTAATGTAGATTATACAATGGTCGCATTCACAGCAGGTAAACCAGATATAGCTGCCAGGTAAAACTAAATGCATATGTCTGAATGACTGTTTAACGCCACAAGTAACGATATACATATGGAGTAATGGGCGTGTAAAGCTACCTGTAACTATATACATATACTGTTTGACTGAATATAGCTACTGTAACTATATATATATATATATATACTGTTTGACTGAATATAGCTACTGTAACCATATACATATACTGTTTGACTGAATATAGCTACCTGAAACTATATACAAACACTGTTTGACTGAATATAGCTACCTGAAACTATACATATACTGTTTGACTGAATATAGCTACCTGTAACTATATACATATACTGTTTCACTGAATATAGCTACCTGTTACTATATAAATATACTGTTTGACTCAATATACCTGTTACTATATACATATACTGTTTGACTGAATATAGCTACCTGTAACTATATACTTATACTGTTTGACTGAATATAGCTACCTGAGCTATATACATATACTGTTTGACTGAATATAGCTACCTGAAACTATATACATATACTGTTTGACTGAATATATCAACCTGTAACTATATACATATACTGTTTGACTGAATATAGCTACCTGTAACTATATACATATACTGTTTGACTGAATATAGCTACCTGAAACTATACATATACTGTTTGACTGAATATAGCTACCTGTTACTATATATATATACTGTTTGACTGAATATACCTGTTACTATATACATATACTGTTTGACTGAATATAGCTACCTGTAACTATATACTTATACTGTTTGACTGAATATAGCTACCTGAAACTATATACATATACTGTTTGACTGAATATATCAACCTGTAACTATATACATATACTTTTTGACTGAATATATCTGTTACTATATACATGTACTGTTTGACTGAATATAGCTACCTGAAACTATATACATATACTGTTTAAATGAATATATCTACCTGTAACTACATACATATACTGTTTGACTGAATATAGCTACCTGAAACTATATACATATACTGTTTGACTGAATATATCAACCTGTAACTATATACATATACTGTTTGACTGAATATACCTGTTACTATATACATATACTGTTTGACTGAATATAGCTACCTGTAACTATATACATATACTGTTTGACTGAATATAGCTACCTGAAACTATATACATATACTGTTTGACTGAATATAGCAACCTGAAACTATATACATATACTGTTTGACTGAATATAGCAACCTGTTACTAAATACATAAACTGTTTGACTGAATATACCTGTTACTATATACATATACTGTTTGACTGAATATAGCTACCTGAGCTATATACATATACTGTTTGACTGAATATACCTGTTACTATATACATATACTGTTTGACTGAATATAGCTACCTGTAACTATATACATATACTGTTTGACTGAATATAGCTACTGTAACTATATACATATACTGTTTGACTGAATATAGCTACCTGTAACTATATACATATACTGTTTGACTGAATATAGCTACCTGAAACTATACATATACTGTTTGACGGAATATAGCTACCTGTTACTATATATATATACTGTTTGACTCAATATACCTGTTACTATATACATATACTGTTTGACTGAATATAGCTACCTGTAACTATATACTTATACTGTTTGACTGAATATAGCTACCTGAGCTATATACATATACTGTTTGACTGAATATAGCTACCTGAAACTATATACATATACTGTTTGACTGAATATATCAACCTGTAACTATATACATATACTGTTTGACTGAATATACCTGTTACTATATACATGTACTGTTTGACTGAATATAGCTACCTGAAACTATATACATATACTGTTTAAATGAATATATCTACCTGTAACTACATACATATACTGTTTGACTGAATATAGCTACCTGAAACTATATACATATACTGTTTGACTGAATATATCAACCTGTAACTATATACATATACTGTTTGACTGAATATACCTGTTACTATATACATATACTGTTTGACTGAATATAGCTACCTGTAACTATATACATATACTGTTTGACTGAATATAGCTACCTGAAACTATATACATATACTGTTTGACTGAATATAGCAACCTGAAACTATATACATATACTGTTTGACTGAATATAGCAACCTGTTACTAAATACATAAACTGTTTGACTGAATATACCTGTTACTATATACATATACTGTTTGACTGAATATAGCTACCTGAGCTATATACATATACTGTTTGACTGAATATACCTGTTACTATATACATATACTGTTTGACTGAATATAGCTACCTGTAACTATATACATATACTGTTTGACTGAATATAGCTACTGTAACTATATACATATACTGTTTGACTGAATATAGCTACCTGTAACTATATACATACACTGTTTGACTGAATAAAGCTACCTGTAACTATACATATACTGTTTGACTGAATATAGCTACCAGTAACTATATACATATACTGTTTGACTAAATATAGCTACTTGAAACTATATACATATACTGTTTGACTGAATAAAGCTACCTGTAACTATATACATATACTGTTTGACTGTCTACATGCTACATGTGACATGCTACACCTTTTACACGTGCAAAACATATATTCTTGAGCAACATTAGTCAAACGGTAATTATTTATACTTACATTGATATAAATAATAATGGAATGTGTAATAATTTTTCCAATCAATATAATTGATGCGATACCAAAGCCAAATTAATAGGATTTAAATGCGGGACTAGGCAAACAGGCACTGAATGATTCATGGTACAACGTACATGCACTGAGTATAGAATTTAGCTTGTTCGCTCTTGTAATATAATTATTAAAAAGATAGTTTCCAGTATTACCAGGGCTCCTGATTATTTCTGTAACCGAATAAATTATTTGTTTCTCAGTTAATTCTCAGTGGGATTTTGTCAGGAAATCAGGTATGTTTCAGCTGCAGCTGCAAAGCCAAATAGTGTTTATACTAAAACTGTGAGTCCTGTGAATATCCTTTGAGAAAAACACCTTGCAACAATGTAATTTCTGTGGCAGACAAATTCTGTATTTTCCCACAGTCTGAATAAGAATGTCTTTTTCCAGAATTTTCTGGGTTAGTTAATGCTTTTCGGTAAATTCCAAGCGCCCACAGCTTTGCTACAGGCAGGTTAGGCGTACAGTGTACAAGCTTTATGAATAAAATTCGGAAGGAAATTAAAGACAAACTTAATGTTTCCCGGACAGCATTAATTATTGCTCTCGGCGAGAAAGGATTTCGATACACTTCACGTGGCGATGACCGAGCACTCTTCAGTGGGAGGGGGCAAGGGTGGCCCAATCGTCTAAGGCGCCGCGATTCGCTGTCCAGAGTTGCGTCCCTTGGGCACGCCAGAAACCTATGATTGTGGGTTCGAATCCCGGTTGTCAGCACCATACCCTTGCTTGTGGTAAACGTCTGAGACCTGCCTCACTTCGGGCTTTCCTCCCACATTAAGCTGACATGCCGTGATATAACTGGAATACTGTTAAAAGCGGCGTTAAACCCAACTCACTCACTCACTCATCTTTAGTGGAAAACACTCCACCCTGTCTATGATGTTATATATTCCCATTCCACTAACTACATGTGGCTTCCGTCAGAGGGACGAAAAGCACCCTTGGCACCATCAGATAAAGGTAATCGTGTCATTGTTTTGCACGCCGGAACCCGTGATCTGGGGCTTATTGATAGTTTTGAACTAGCTTTCGAGGCGAAAAAGAAAACTGGTGATTATCATAAGGAAATGAATGGTGACGTGTTCATAAACTGGTTTGGACATCCAGTCTACAGCCCAGTCTAAACATCCCCAGCGTCATTGTCATGAATAACGCCAGTCATTATAACATCCGGAAACCAGATACTGTCGCGCCAACCAGGAGTAGTTTGAAGGCGATCATGCAGAGATATCTGACATCTTGCAATGTCGACTTCAGACCATCTGAAACGAAAGTTTAACTCAAGGAATATATTTTCGCCTCAATGAGAAACCAGTAAAGTACAAGACAGATGCCCTGCCGGCACAGCATGGTCACGTTGTCTTACATACGTCAGTCAGACATTGTGAGCCCAACTCTATTGAGCCTGACTGGACTAACTGTAAAGGGTTATTGGTAAGACACAGCACAGCATTCAAACTCACTCATGTCAAGCCTAGAATCACACAGAGGTATGGCAAAAGGTTGAAGATATAGAACGTCAGTACCGCCAACGTGACTGCGTGGCCAATGTGATATCTACAGCCTTATTGCCCCCGTTATCATACCTTTGGGCGATGGTACCTCATCGGTCGAGTCAGAGGCTGGCTAAAGAAATAAACTGTAGAACAGGAATTACTTCTTGATTAAAAGTAACAACCTTCTTAATGGCATTGGGGGGCACGGGTGGCCCTGTCGTCTAAGGCGCCGCGATTCGCTGTGCAGAGTTGCGTCCCTTGGGCACGCCAGAAACCTATGATTGTGGGTTCGAATCCCGGTTCGCCCCTATTATGTTTCTAGGTTTGTCAGCACCATACCCGTGCTCGTGGGTTTCACCGAAGTGGTAAACGTCTGAGACCTGCATCACTTCGGGCTTTCCTCCCACATTAAGCTGACACGCCGTGATATAACTGGAATAATGTTAAAAGCGGCGTTAAACCCAACTCACTCACGCACTCACTTAATGGCATTGTGTATTCATACCCGTCCAACACTCATCCCGTTTCATAGCTGTTTACTAATCTATCATTTCTCCAAGAAAATATAATGCAGTACATCTCTCATTTGCTACCATCGTCAACGCATATC